TTCTCCTCTCCTCTCCTTCTCCTTCTCCCTCCTCCTCCTCCTCCTCCTCCTCCTCCTCCTCCTCCTCCTCCTCCTCCTCCTCCTCCTCCTCCTCCTCCTCCTCCTCCTCCTCCTTTCCTCACGTATCCATTCCCAAGGAACCTGGTCATGAACGAGGCTGCTGCCTTCCTTCCCTCAACCGTCAAGGTCTTAGAATGAGCCCTTTGTCCCCCTGCCTCACTTTCTTACCAGTTGGATCCAGCAACGATCAGGATTCTTGATAAGGTGCCGCTACTGTTGCTTCCCCTCTTCCCGTTATGCTTCATCCCCCTCCCCTTCAACTCCTCTGCCTTTCCTTGTTCTTCTCTCTTCCTCGCTCGTCCACCTCCCCCCCCCACAAAAAAAACTCGAGCTCCCTTCCTCTTCTCCACTGCTTCTTCCTTGTTTCTCCTCCTCTGCCTCCTCTTTTGTCTCCTCGGAGCTTCAACTCCTCCATCCCCTCACGACCTGCCTTCACCTCGCATGTCCTTCTAAATGCGTTTACCGTCCTTGCTCATGCTTCAACAGTCTGTCCTCTTCCCATCTCTTACCCTCCTTTCCTCCAATTTTCCTCACGCTCTCGTTCTGCTCTTTAGTTTCAGCAGCTGGACTAGGCTTGGAATCAAAGCACAATTCAAGGAAAAGCATATCAGGTGTCTCTTTTGCCCGAACACATCTCCGATGATAGTCATACAAGAGATGGTTGAGTGTGCGTATTCAGCTAGAGGTAACATCCCCGTATTTTACTCACTCTATGTAAACAAAGGAAGCATACATGCCTTCATGTCGATCGTATTACTCCCCTACATGCTCGTATCGCCGTCTATGGTACATTCAACCCTCCACTCGCACTCATTCCCCCAGACGCTTCTCCCTCACCCCAGCGCTGATCTCCGCCTCCCGCTGATGGCTCTCCTTGATATGCTTGGTCCGTCTGGGGCTGCTGGCTCTGACTCTGGTCAGCTCCTGCATCAGCTGCCACCCGTCCGACCTCACTCTGATGGCCTTGCCCGCGCTCGCTGCCTCCTCCTCCAGCGTGCAGACGGGAGTATGGGCGTCAACGTAGGCTTGCTGGGATGGGGAGAGCTTGAGAGAGCGGGCAGCAGGGAGGGAGAGGGAGAGGTCAAGGAGGGAGATAGAGAAGGAGGGAGGAGGAGAGGAGCGTGTCATTGCTGTGCAGGGTGTGCGTGGGAGGGAGGAGGGAGGGGAGGTTGAGCTGGTAGCGTGTCAGATGTTTATCAGGTGCCAAGTTGATCCCTCCAAGATACCGGGAGACGTATGTGGCTAGATACCGCAACGGTTCGTCGAAGTCCGAGAAACGAAACGTTGCGATCTGCCAATGTAGCTCTTTTATTACGACCTTTTAGACGAAACGGTGCTTGTTCACCACCCAGACTCTTTGCTCCTTGCGCTAGCGGGCCTGTAAGCTCGAGCGAGGGGTCCGTGACCGTCTGACCGGCTAGACGCGACAGCAGTAAAGAATCTACCTGAAGGTGACTTATCAGCTACTTTTACTCAAAGTTGAGTTAAAGTTCAGTACCAATTATTCCTCTACTCTCCTGCTTGTCCGCACACTGACTTTTAACTTAACTCTGTTGAGTAAACGACTGATGTACCAGTCACATGGCTGTGAGCGACAGCCAGTAACTGACTCACTGATCTTTACTCAAAGTTAAGTGAAAAATCAGTACGAGGACAATCAGGAGAGTCGAGGAGGCTTGACCCTGACACTGTCGCACAGGCCAAACGTCGCACAGGCCAAACGGCGAGAAGAGAAAAGACAGCGAGAACCAAACACTAGTCAGTCTCGTTTAACTTTACTCAAAGTTAAGTTATACATCAGTACGAGGACAGCAGGAGAGCAGAGGAGGACTTGACCCTGACCGTCCCTGTCCGATCGCACAGGCAATACGGTGAGCAGAGAAAAGACAGCGAGACTGTCTTCAACACGAATCTCATTTACAAGCCTCTTGTTGAGGGCGTCCTCCTCGCATCCTCCATCCCTTTCACGCTGAGTCTTCATCTGCTCTCCTGTTTCAGCAGCTGCAGTAGATTTGCAATCAAACACGCACATACATCGGACCACTCAGTACATGTACAGCCCAATCACTGCAGGGCCGACGACGACAAGATCGGGACAAAGAGAGCTCGACGCCAACCATCAGGCTGGAGCATGGCATGAGCCCTCTCTGCTCGACCCTTGAGCACTGAACATTCCCTCGCACTTCCCGTCATCAGCTCAACTATGTCTGGGGTGATACAAGAGATGGTTGTGTGCGTATTCAGCTAGAGGTAACATCCCCGTATTTTACTCACTCTATGTAAACAAAGGAAGCAGACATGCCTTCATGTCGATCGCATTACTCCCCTACATGCTCGTATCGCCGTCTATGGTACATTCAACCCTCCACTCGCACTCATTCCCCCAGACGCTTCTCCCTCACCCCAGCGCTGATCTCCGCCTCCCGCTGATGGCTCTCCTTGATATGCTTGGTCCGCCTGGGGCTGCTGGCTCTGACTCTGGTCAGCTCCTGCATCAGCTGCCACCCGTCCGACCTCACTCTGATGGCCTTGCCCGCGCTCGCTGCCTCCTCCTTCAGCCCGCGGACTGGACCCGCGCTCGCTGCCTCCTCCTCCAGCCTGCAGACGGGAGTATGGGCGTCAACGTAGGCCTGCTGGGATGGGGAGAGCTTAAGAGAGCGGGCAGCAGGGAGGGAGAGGGAGAGGTCAAGGAGGGAGATAGAGAAGGAGGGAGGAGGAGAGGAGCGTGTCATTGCTGTGCAGGAGGGAGGGTCGAAGGTGGCGCTGCTGTATAAAGAGCAAACAGGTCGGAACGGAACGCTGTGCTACGTCTCTGGCTCTTTATGACTCAACGAAACGGTGCATGTTGTGTAGTCACCAGTTTGCTCCTGACCCTCAGCCTGTAAGCTTCCATTCGATGGCCACGTGACAGCACCGGGGTGCTTTTGCCAAAGGTCGTGTCCTCGCATCTTTTTGCGTAAAAGTCGGATATCACGGTCCGGGGGCCTGGTCATTTGTAGGGCCTGTGCGATTCATTGAATCTTATCCGAACAGCTGAGTGTTGTCGGACGTCCGGGCCGGCGACGGTAAGTAGCACCCGGAGCTTCCGGCGACCGCCGCACGTCGGACCGTACTCTCCGAGTGACCCGGGCCGTCTGCCAACGTGTCACGGACAGTCGGACCGTACTGAGTGACTCCGAGTGACGGACTGGCGGCGCGGCGCCCCTGCGGCTGAGGCGGTTAAACTTTGGCGGTAAAAAAAAGGGTCCGACACTGACTCGGTTACGGGCCCGGCGGCCTCCGAGTGGCCGCGTGACGGCCGGGCCGGGCGGCGCCGGACCGAGGTTGGCCGGATCCGATCATCCTGCCCGGTTCGGCCGGGCCCGGCGTCGCCGGAGTCGCCGTACGGTATGAAGGCAGGCAGTATCAGGTTCACGGGTGGCAGGAGCGGTCAGTACCGTACCGTACCGCACGCCGCCGTACGGTACGCCCGGCTGGGATGATTCAGTCTACACGGTCAACACCCGGGGGCCTGGCAGCCGGCCGCTCCCTTGGCCGGGGCCCGCCGGGGCCGGCCGCCCGCCCGGCGGTGCCCGCTCGCCCCCGGGCCGCCGCCCGACCCACT